CTTAAATGAAATGATAGATTACAGAAATTATGAAACAAGGCATCTACTAAACCTTAAGGTCATTTTTGGTTTCTGATTAGAAAAGTTTGCAGATTAAATGTTAAAACATGACCAAAATAAATATGATTCATTGATTTTAAGATGCATACTTTTCAACAATGGTCAGCATTTCTTCTTCCTTAGTAACACCTAAAACAATGGTATATTTTAGGATTGATGACCTGTTATGATCAATCATATATGGTGGTCAAATAGAGTGCATGTTGCTTATGTTGCGAAGTCTCATTCCTAATATACATTTCAGAAAAACTGCCCCAAATACTTAGAGACCTTTAAGATAAGAAATAGAAACCTACCCTGTAAAGGAATGACAACTCCTGCTTGTGACAACAAAATACGGTACATATCACGTTGACGAACTATGGAATCGACAAGCTGCATCTGATGTTGTCGTGACCCACGGAGTTGTTCCAGTTCAGTGAGGGCGCTCTCAAGTTTGAGCTGAAGCTCATTAATTCTACAAATAAATATCGTAAGTCTACTGCACTGAGATTAAGAGACAGTTACAACTTCTACTGTATTACAGAGACTATTTTACCACCTATCACCAAGCGTACTACTTTTCCCTCTTACCCTTACCTTCTCCTACCAGCACAGTAACAACCATGTTTAAAGCCCCGCCATACAGGACTCAGGCACTCATCACTATCATCTGAAAAATTTGTTGGCAAAAATTAAACCAATTCCACTCAGTCTAAACTTCAGAGTTCTTGCTTTCATAGCCATTTCTCCTCCTCTAGTGCCAAACACTTAAAAACAAATTCTTTGCTTGAGTAATTCCTACATAACTTCTCTATGAAGCCCGGTCTGTTCTCTAAAATCTAGGGTAGGTCCTCTGCCTCTAAGCTCCCATGGATAAATTTTTATCTATTACAGCACTGATCATACTGAACTAAATAAAATGATCTACATTTATCTAATTACTGAGCTCATCCACAAACTGGGTTCCCCAAGAGAAATTTTTTTCTTGATACTATTGCTCAGTTTCTCTCTCTCTCCTAAACCACTATATTCCCAGTCTTGCACGCTAGAGGATACACAGAAAGTTTTCAGTAAATGTTTGCCGAACAAATCAAGGTAGTCCATAGCTTACTTAGATGAAGTTGTTTCTTGTTCTTCTCTTTCTCTGGTTTCCCCAAGTTCCCTAAGGGCCACTAACAGACGCTGATTTTGCTGCTGGAGTTCTTCAATATTTCTGTAAGATACCAGGTGCTGGGATATTACTTCGGATGAACTGCTTATATCAGCAGAGCTTACTTCCTCATCCCGAATTACATGGTTACCCCTTGCTTCTTCAAGTTCCATCAAAAGCACCCTAATCTAAAAACAAAGTTTTAATATGTTATCAAATATTGAAGAGTATTTGGCTCCAATTCTGGAAATGTTCAGAAGAAAAATTTTCAAATAAAAATAATACTTTATAAACACCATCAGCCTGTATTAAATGACCTTAAAAAGCAAAATAGCAAGCATATATTAGAACCTAAAAAAAGTTTAATGAAAGAATTATTTTCATTTCTACAGTGTGTAATGAAGGCCATTACTTTTAAAAGGCAGCCACATTACAATTCCAGAAGCATCAATTTTTGTAAAACAGTGACACAGTAAAATATACAGAAATAGGTACCTATTGTGTGTACATGTATGCTCACACTTGCATCCTTATGTACATACTGTATAATGAAGCAGAAGTGTGAAAAATAGATTTTAAATCCACTGAGATAAAAATTTAGTGTTGTGTTTATGTTTGTAGACCCACAAACAAAAATTAGGGTAAAATACATGACCCAAAATAGATGTACATTTCCTGACTAGTTTAGTTAAAAAAAAAAAGTGGCAGAGTATTGAATAGGGCAGTTTTATATCTGTAAAAAACAAGGAAAACTTATACATGTTTGTATTTGCTCATTTGTGTTTGTACATACAAAAAGAATGACATGAAAAAATATACAGAAGTTTGTTATTTGGTTATACTCTGGGACATGGGCAGGGGGAAAGAACTTTTGTTTATCTTTAAATTATTTCATTTATTACAACCAGTACCTTTACTCTGAAAACTTATCAAAACACTTAAAGATAAAAGAAAAAAAGGGAGGGGCTATGAAAGATCAGTGACTAGACTTCAATTCTGCTACTGCAGTATTCCTAATTGATGAAAATTTCACACATGGTAGCTCTCTTAGATACCTGCTAACAGATTCCCACATTACTGGGCCATCAGTTTAGGGGAAAACAGGAAAAGAAAAAACTTCTAACCTGTTGTGAAAGATCTTTTATTTGAATTTCCATTCTCTGATTGTCTCTTTCAAGTACAGATGAATGTTTGTTGGCTTTATCAGTGTCCTCCTGCAATCGCTGAATCTCCTATAAATTGTAAATTCAAGTTAAAATCCTGCATTTCCTTCTAAGATATATACAAATAAAGAAGTAAATGAATAACAAAAATACACAGTGCTCAAATATCATAGTGATCAACTTATAAACTAAGAACATTCAATAATAACATATATTCTATGTAATAGCCCCTAAAGAGAAATTCTTTATAAATACTGGGTTGGCCAAAAAGTCTGTTTAGTTTTTTTCGTAAAATAAAAGACACATTTTTTTTCACCAATAACTTTATTGATTTGGATGTATGATTATGTCAGCTATCTCCTGCTATAGGCTTCCAGCGGTTAGAGGCCAGGGGTGCTGCAAAAACATCTTCCAATGCGTAAGACAGCTCCATGGCAAAGAATCATTTGGCCAAAATGTGAGTAGTACCAAGAAACTTCGCAAACCACTTTTGACATGTGTAAGCAGTCACAGCCCTTTCTCCATACACTGCACAAGTCATTTTTTGCGTCTCAGCTGTGTTATTACCTTCCTTGAAATGTTGCATGTTTTCTTTCATCTCCAGTATTAAAATGGCTGCATAAAAATTCACCAGCTCTGGTAATTTTTTTTTAAATGCACACTGAGGTTACAGCTACCACAATACAGTCTAAGATTATTGTTTCAAATGAACTTAAAAGACAACTAAGCACTACCAGAGCCATCGTACAAAAAGAACATTTTTGGCCAACCCAATGTGAATACATGTATTTCTTAATGTCTCAGTGATTGCCCATGATAATGTTCATCATTATATAAAAATGATGGGCAATGTCCCACTCTCCCCAAATTAATTGTCAATTATAATTTTATAGCCATACCACCACATTAAATAATCTCAAAAGTTTTGCTACTAAGACAAAAATGAAGGACTGTATTACAATGATAATCTTTATTATACCAGTTACCTGAAAATAAATACTAAATAAGTAAAAAATGTTGAGTAGGATGAATAAAAAACTTGATTTTGTAAAAGACACATTAGGAATTAATTCTAAGTAATCAGTAGCAAATGTCACAAGGCTGTAAAAAACACAAAACAAAAAAACAACAACACAGTAATATAGACAATGCTTTGTGAAGTTTTGAATCATAGTACCATTAGGGATTTAAGGAGCCTCATATAAGCACAAAATATCTTTGAAACATATGTTACCCCAAATTCATAAAAATCTGGATTTATAATATGTTGTTTTCAAATACAAAATTTTAAAATACTATTCAAGTAAAAGACGGCTCTTATTTATCCTGGTGTTTCAAGTAGCACACTGCCCTAAAGGAATGTATAAACCAATTTCAAAAAAAGACAACTTATGTGACAAAATGAAGCAAGCGAATACTCATGAACTACTGCAATAATACAAATCTACTGACTTCGAAATGGGCTTAATTAAGATGTCAAAGAAGGAAGTTATTTGGTTATAAAACCCTAAAACTCTAACAAAAAAATTATCGCAGAATCTAAGCTGAAGGGACACATAATGTATGCTAAAAGAAGATTCAACTATAAAAAAAGCTAATTATTTTAAAATTCTTTGGCAGTTATGAAAAAATAAGGGATTTTTATTATTGTACTTGTACACTAGTGAAGAAACGAATAGCTTTTTCCATAATGAATAGCTGCTATTTTCTGATTCTTGAGCCCCTCTACCTCACTACCTATCCCCTTCAGACAATAAGCTCCAGACAAAATGCTCATTCTCAAGAGTGGAAAAACTCAAGTTCTAATTAGAGGAAAAGGATCACTTTTCAACCCAGATGAAGAAAGGGGGGAAGGGGTCAAAAGCAAATATTCTGTCAAAGCAAAACTGGGAGATGTCATTTGATTCAGGAGAGAAACAATTAGATATACCTCAATTTAAAATGGTTTCTAAATTGTATTAGCAACAGCAATAAAAGCTTAAGCTTAAGTTAAGGATACAACTTACACTATTTAAAAAAGATGGAAAGGAAGGAAGGAAGCAAATTTATCAATCTATAACAGCAGATACAAATTGATTTAACTGAATTTCCTCAAAAAAAAAAAAAAACTTATTTAATAAATCTTAAAGATTTCTCAGTAACATTAACAGTTGTGCCCAGAAAGTTAAATTATCAAGAGTATACTTGTTTAACTATTATGTATTAAAATGGAATCTTAAAAGGTAAAAGATACTTATGAATTTCCTTGGTAGTTCTAACATGTAAAGGAACAGTAAAAAGAATGTATATAGCCCTGGCCAGTGTGGCTGGGTTGGAGCACTGGCTGATAAACTAAAAGGCTGTGGGTTCAATTCCCAGTCAGGGCACACGCCTAGGGTGGGGGTTCAGTTCCCAGTTGGGGCCATGTTTGGGTGGCAACCTACTGATGTTTCCCTTGAATCAATGCTTTTCTCTCTCTCTCTCTCTCTCTCTCTCTCTCTCTCTGGAATCAATGGATATATCCTTGAGTGACGGTTTAACAAAAAATTAAAAAACAGATAATGTACATAATGATTTGTTAGATTGTCAATTGGTATAAAAAAGTTCTTCCCTAAGGTTAAACAATATTATCACTTCTAGACAGAATTACCACAACTTTCTTTTTACATTGTACTAGGATAGAATGGCCTACCTCATTAGCTTCTGAGGCTAATACATGTCTATCACCACAATTATTTTAGTAACCTGGTTCCCCTCACTTCAGCAACATAATGCAGAGTTAGTGATCGAGTTTGCGCTACAACTGTTTGACAAAAAAAGACTGTGCTAAATTTAGGAGTGTTCTATTACAAAGGCAGATCTGATGTGGCTCTTTGTCATCCACTATAGAACCCTAGGGAAACAATCCTAAATGTCCTAAAAGACGTAAGAGGCTCTCACAATTTTAGCTGAATAAAAGTAGAACATTTTGTGATTACAAGCGTCTCATAAGGTAATGACAAACTTTAATATGTCTAATTACTGTTTCTTACATGTATTTTCCCCAAAGCTCAAATTTAGGAATGGAACCAACCTTCATCGCTTGTTCAAGCTTAACTGATAAACTTGCCACAGCTTTCTGTGCACGTTCATACTCCTCGCGCTGGCGTTTCAAAATTGGTGCTTTGGCTTCGACTTCTTTCACAATTTCATCTAAGTATTTGTTAATTCTTTTGTTCTCTAGTTTCTCCAAAAGCAACTGATCCTGAGTTTCCACATAAGCATTATACAACTAAAAGTAGAAGACAATTTGTTTAAAATGTAGGCATAACAGTGTAAGTGTATATATTCTACCTTCATAATAAACATTCATCAGCACTTAAAAAGATGGAAATATTTAACTATATGTTACACAGAACTAGGAACCAAGAAAGCCTTTCCCAGTATGGTACATTAATTTGAGATGATTTTAAGAATAATTTTTCTGAGGACTAAGTTTCAGAGAGATTTGAACACTTTTCTGGAAGGAAAAAGAACAGTATTTAACACCGCTCTTACCTCAGTTAATTTCATGCCAGGTTTCACTATCTTAGCTACAGCTGCCGCAGTAGGAGACATGGCTGTAAGCTCTTCTTCAGACAATATGGCTCCTGTGCAAATACACAGAAATCCAATATATTTTTGTAAAATTTCAAACTAATGGCACTAACATTTTTTTCAAGTGACACCTACTGTATGTTCCATATAAATTTCTGCAAAGATCTAAATATGACATCAAAAAGTAATGTTAACAACTCAATTCTAAAAAATCATGCAGTAATTATAGTTAAAAATATTTGGAAAAAAGACACACAGTTGTATGCGACCAAATAATACTTCTGACAATAGAGTAAAATATATATAAAGTACTAATTTTAAACTAAAAATATATTCTAATGCTATAGCTCAAAGGAGTTTCCTACATCACAACCTGACAGAGAAAGTCTACTAGTAAAGGTAAATGAGACCCATGTAGGTTAGTGCCAGGATTTCCAGACATTAATAAGCATCTTAATCCATACCTTTCCGTTTTGTGGCAGAAAGCAGGTCATTTGCATTCTCTAGTTCCTTCTCCAATTTCCCTATTTTCTCAAGCATTTCTTTTTCCATTTGCTCTTTAGATCCCTCCACCTCTAGAAGATGATCTTGAATTGCTTTATTTGCTAAAAACATTTTTAAAGACAATGTTCAAACATATAATTAAAATGTTGGAGCTTATAAAATGTAACAGAATAGTCTTTTTTTCTGTCAGAAAATATTAACTGGCAGACTGTGGTTGACAGTTATTATCCACTGAAAGCTCTTGCTCTACTTATAATTCCTGAAATGTCCTGGCCTGGCAAATCTTTGCTTTCTTTTGATGTCTCCTATCCATAGGGAAAATAAGGGAACTCAAATTGTAAAAGTGCCTCTAAGTACCTCTTTGGTTTTATCTGACCATTAGAGCATAGGAAATAACTGAAAAAGATCATAGGTAAGTTACATTTCAAAAAAAAAAAAGCAAGAACATAAGAGAACCAAAGACTTTAAAATACACTATTTATAATTTAAAAGTGAATCTTATTTACGGATTAATATGAGCACCCAAACTGTAAACCCGTATGTACTTATGAAAGTATTTTAAAGATGGAAGAAAAATTTCCTATTAAAAATCAGATTATATATAGGGTTATTAGCTGAGCAAAATAGAAAAACAGTAACTATATTTTTAAATAAACTATTTGCTGAAAACCCAGAATCTTTCTTTTACATCAATATTTGTGTTCCTAATAAAGTTAATCTAACTTCTAAATCCAAAAATCTATACACAAAGGTAAAGAAAAAAAGTCCCTCCTATCTAAAAATAAAACAATCTTCATATAATTTAAAAGGTACCTTCTCCAGCTTCTTTCAAAAGTTTGTGTAGCTCATCTACTGCTCGGGTCAGTTCATTGCTCTTTGCCTCTGAGTCCTCTGCAGCACTCTAAAATTTAATCTCAATGTTACCAAAACATGCAACAACGTAACATTAGGACACTAAAATGTGTGGTAGGGTACCTACCTTGTATAAATTAGAGAGCTTTATGTGAGCATTTAATTCATTGTGGAATTTCTCTTCCATACTGGCCTGCTGTTCTTTGGCCTGAAACAAACAAACAAATAAACAAACCAACCAACCAACCAATTTTAGCAGACGCGGTTGAAATGAATTCAGAATGATTATCAAACACCAAAATTAAAAAAAAAAAAATACAATTTTGTATATAAATAAAAAAAAATTAAAACATTAAAATCAGTTCTCATGATAAAGGTGAATTACTTTAATGATAAATAGTAATGATTTTTATCTAAAAGCAGAACACTTAAATATTAAAATTAATGATTCTCACTTTTAGACATTACTTTGGATATAGCATGTAACTGTTATGTATGATTAGGTAAACATCCTGACTATTTTATGGTGCCAGGAACAATTCAAATCATAAAATAATTGCATAAAATAACAGTTTCATAATTGTTGTAGTATTTTTGTAAAAGACATTTTAAAGTGGTCACTATACCTCTTTCAGTTTGGTCAACAGATCCTCCACATGCTTTTGAAGATTCTCATTTGACGTTTTCAAGCTGTTCATCTGCTCTTCCATTCTCGTAACCTAGAAACAAAAAAATAAGAGTTGGGTGGGGGAAAATGCTGTATTAACTGAAATTAATTTGATATGAAGTTTAGCTGCCAAATAAGCATAAAATAATTGCCCACCCTAAAAAATATTTTATATAAAATATGGATATTTGAGAAGACAAAAATAATAGCTCACAAAACAACATGTTTGGATTTAGCTCACAAAAACTTATCACCACTTCTTAAACATGTTTTAGGAAAGCTACATCATTAGAAAATAGTACCAAAATTCATCAAAGAATATCATAAACTCTATTTAAAAGCAACAGATTAATTTCCCAGGCAAAATGTTTGAGTTATGCCTTCCATGTTTGACACTCAATCCTACATTTACTTTTGTATACTACTAAATAACTGTTTAATTAACTGTCACACAAATGTAAGTTATACCCAATACAAAGATACAATTTTACTAACATACCTCCTCTTTCTTGTTTTCGAGATTACATTTAAGCTCTAGAATCTCATTTCCTTTTTCTCTGCCAAGAGCAAGAAGTTCATCAGTTTTGGTTTTTAACTCTGTATTCAGCCATGTATTCTGATTGTGTAGTAATTCCTTTTCTTGCTCCAAACGTTTTTCTCGATACTAAAAAAAAAATCCAAATAAATAAATAAATAAATAAAATAACATTTATAGTAAAGGATAATACTTGGTTACTTGAAATATTTTGTCTGCAGCCAAGGAACACAAGCAGAATTTTACCTTACAACACAAATAAGTAGCTGTAAGAATTCTTAATAGAAAACATAAGAAACTTAAATATCATATAAGCAAAACAGCTCAATTATAATTATCTTAATCCCCTGATATTCAAAAACACAGCTTTAATTACTTTACACTTTACTTAATTACTTTAAGGTAACTTGCCTTAATTTAATTTAGGTGAATTTTAAGGTAAAATTTTATGTTGTGCATTAGGAATTATGTTACTTGCCTTAACAGAAACATCAGAAGCTTGAAGTTCATCCAATTTTAACTGAAGTTCAGCTTTTGTTGCATTGCTTTCTTTATGTTTTTCAGTTAGACGTTTAACATCCTCTAGGAAGTTCAGAATTTGAAAATAGTAATTATCTATTACTGAGAGGTACCAAACATCAAAAATGCATATCTAGGAATATAAACATTTAATACTAAGCAAGTATTTCTCAACATCTCTAATTTTATTTCATTTCTGCCATACTTAATTATAATTTTTTAAAATAAATAGATGATAAAGAAGCCAAATTCCTGTATCTGACCATTTAAAATTATACTGGTTATTTTATTTTAAATGCAGTGTCTTAAGCTAAATATACAAAATTAACATTAACTTTTCTGATATATAACCAAAGGTCTATTAAAATTTCACAAATGGCTATGTGTTAAGTTAAAAAAACAATGATATACCTGTTAAATATTCAAGTTCTTGAGACAGTCTCTCATTGGTTCTAATTAAGTCTCTTTTCTCAGCTTCTAATTCTTCCTTGGTCCTTGTAAATTGGTTCTGTCATACAGAGGAACAAGCACAATACATCAAACAAGAAAAAAATCAAGCTTATCCATCAATCAATATAGGAACTTGAATAAGAAATTGTCCCTTGTTAGGAAAGATTTAAAAATTGTTGTTCTTTCTCTCATAACTTACAAAGCAAAAAGTTACTTATATTCTCAACACTTCTGTTCATGTTTTGGATTTGTAAAAATTATTTTTCCTTGGCTCATGAAAAAACTCATGTCATTGTCATTTGAAAGTGTCCTACTTAAACATATTTATTTTGAAACATACACTTACACCTTGGTTCAAAAAACTTTCTCAAAAAAGATCCCTGAAGATGAAGTTACTGAAAACAATGTTGTTAGTCAAACTGCTTTCCAGCAAGACAATGGCAATTTATGTGCATTTGAGTCATAAGTAGCCATCTCAAGCCATCCGTGCCAAAAGTAAATACTGTTCTTAAGAAATTACTGTTAACATAGGGAGGTAAAAATAATTACATTGTTCCTTTATCTGCATTTTTCTGATTACAAGTGAAATAGAGCAACATTTCACTTTGCCATTATTTATGCAGCTTACTCTCTCTTTTTAAATTCCTTTGCCCATTTCCCTCTTGAATTTTTTTATAATTTAAAAGTGGTCATGC